CCCAGAGCACTTAATTGTGCTCACTTGGAATCTGTATCTATACTTAGGCTACTTTACAAGCAGAGCAAGGAGACACTGCATAGTTTAAAATCAAGAAAGGTGCACATCAGAGCTATATCCTTTTTCCATACCTATTTAATCTGTATGCTGGGCAAATCACTCAAGAAGATGGACTTTATAAAGAAGAATGTTGCATCAGAATCAGAAGGAATACTCATCAAAAACATGTGTTATTCAGATGACACAACCTTGTTTGCTGAAAATTAAGATATGCACAAGATATGCTTTCAATATAAATTACACCTCAACATCAAGAAAATAAAAATCCTCCCCACTGTAAAAACAGGCAATATCATGATAAATGGAGGAAAGAGAGAAAATTGTTTGCCCTTTGTACCAGCGTCAAGAAATGAAAAGATAAGGGGAGCTCTGGTGGCCTAGTGGCAAGGAGCTGCAACTACAATCCCAGAGGCGCACGGTTCGAATCCACCAGATGCTCTGCCGGGGAAGGAGGGACAATCTCCTCCTGTACCAGTCAGATCTGATTTGACGGTACACTCACACAAAAATAATAATTTAAAAAAATTTAAAAAAAAGAAATGAAAAGATAGACTGCGCTGGGAAAATTACTGTTAATGAACTCTCTAAAGTGCTAAGGAACAATGATATCAGATTACGTGCACCTGATCCAAGCCATCATCTTTTTATTTACTTCCTATGCACCTTAGAGCCAGGCCATGAATAAGGATGACAGATGGAAGAACTGATCTTTGAGTTGTGGTGTTGAAGAAAAATACAGTACTGAACATCTCATGGACTGCTAACAGAACAAATACATTTGTCCTGAAGAAAGTACAACCAAGGTGCTCCCTGGAGGCAAGGATGGTCATGTTGTCAGGAGGGGTAAAGGACATCATGTTTGGAAAGGTGGAGAGTCAGTGTAAGAGAGGAAGATCCTCAAGCATGTCAGAGAGAATGAGGCTGTGGCAGAGGAGAGGGCAAGGTTCAGATTAGGAGTCACAATCCACTCTACAGCATCCAACAACAACAACAACAAATGAACGCAGTTTCCACCAGACACTACATTCATGCCTGAAGAAACTGCTCATACTAGAATTGTTTTGAAAAATTTTGGACTTTGGAATCAGATGAATCATTTACTAACAATGAATGTGAAAAGATTCTTTAACTCTCCAGTTAGCTTATGAAGGTTGTAATTTAAATCTCACAAGGTTGTTAGAAAGGCCAAATGCTTCCACTGTAAAATATTAAGCAAATATTTAAAAAATAAATCCACTGGTTCCTTTTCTTTAGAATTGTTTTTTCTATTCGAATATAGGCCCTTTCTAATTACTTTATTCCACTGTTGCTGTTGTTGACTTAAGAGGATCTTTGGTGTCCACCGGATGATTTTCAGAAATAGATTTCCCAGACTTCCTTCCCAGTTTGTCTTAGTCTGTAAGCTCTGCCAAAACTTGCCCAGCATCACAGAGACCAGCATGTCTGCACGCACAGATCAGTGCTGGCTGCGAGTGAGGGGCGTGGGCGAGGCTTGAACTTTAGGCATCTCACAGAGAAGGTGAGAGTTCTACCACAGAGCTATAGCATTTAATTAAGTGCACCTGTTAAGATTAATGACTAGATGGGAGACAGAATAACTCTTAGGTTGTGTTCAAGCATGACAGAGAAGCAGTGATTGATTGCCCATGTGACACTGAATGGGAGAAGAATTCACTCCATGACACTATCTCTTGCCAACCAAATGCAAAAGGAAATATAGCAATGCAGGAAGAATCTTCACCAGAGAATTTCTGTATGTGTAAACGAGGGAAAGTCCCCTATATAGATATTGTTGTTGCTGTTGTGTACCAGAGAGTGGGAACTGACCCTTCAGCAGTTTCAGAAGCAGTAAACTGCAGGGGAGGAGACTGCCCATCTTTCTCCTACGGAACAACTGACGGGACTTGAACTGTGTGCCTTAGGGACTGCAGCACACTTTCTTACCACGAGGCTACCACAATGCAATCTATAAGCAAAACCATGAGGTAGAAAATGAGACAAACTTCAAAATAAAATATGAAAAGAAAAAGTACAAAACAATCGTTTTTAGGCTTAAATCATACGTTTAAGTTTTAAAATATTTATTGTGTATTCTGTTTATAAAAGCACAATCATTTCTCACTAAAAAAACAAACAAACAACTGGAATGGTAAAGGACCAAAACAAACATACGGAGTTCTGATCCACCAATTGCACAACAGGAGACATGTCCTCCTGTGCAATTACCTATTTCTGAAAACCCACTGGAGGGTCAGCTATGAGTCAGTTCTAACTCTATGGTACACAACATGATTTAAAAATTTAAAATTAACAATAGATTATGAGAATTTTACCATGCATTTATGTTTTACAAGAACTTAAATGTCTGCATTATATTTCCTGACATACATATGATACAATTTATTACTCAGTCTTATAAACTTTTGGGAAGTTAAACAGTTTCCGGTTTGCAGAAATATAAATACTTGATAAATGTTTTCCCTGATGAAAGCAAGCTAATGCTTTCTGGATGGCATTACTTCATAATTGCTCTTTAAATATAGGTATGTCATCAGATAATGGTGCCATCTTCCTACCCATAATTCTCCATCTTGTTCATAAGTATATGACAAGAGATTTTATTATGCATTTTTCTGCTATCTGGCTGCACCATTTTTACAGCTTTTACTTACAAGACCAGTGCTAACCCAAGCTATGGAGCCTTACAGCTTCTACTTGACCTGTGTTTCTAGTATCTTATAACAAAAGTGTACTTTCGTCCCAGAAAACTTTATCATGCTCGTAAGAAACCTTCACCTAGACCAAGCATGGCTTATCGTTTCTCCATACCTCTTCCATCTGTTTTCTGAACACGTCCTTTGAGAACTTAGATTATACAAAGAATACTGTGCATCAAGATTGGAAGAAAATTCATCAGCAACTTGTCTTATACAGATGACAGAACTATGCTTGCTGAAAGTGAAGAAGACCCAAAGCCCTTACTTACTACAGAAGATTAAAGACTACAGCCTTCAATAGGGGTTACATCTCAACATCGAGAAAACAAAATTCCTCACCACTGGACCAGTTAGGCCAATAGATGGAGAAAAAAAAAAATTAAAGTTGTCCAGTAAAGTAGACCAAAAGATGGAGAAAAAATTAAAAGTTGTCAATGATTTTACTTTACTTGGGCCCATGACCAATTGTCTAGGATAAAAGCAGACAAGAAATAACAAACGTTTTGTTCTGGGCAAATCTGCTGTTAAGGACCTCTCCAAAGTTTTGAAGAGCAAGGAAGTCTGTTTAAAGACTAAGGCGTACCTGACCCAATCCATGTTCTTTTCAATTAGTTCTTACGCATCTGAAAGCTGAACAGTAAGGATGACGGAAGAAAAATCAATGTCTTTTATTTGTGATGTTGGAGAAAAATATTGACTGTCCCGTAGACTGCCAGAAGTCCAGTCTGCTTTGGAGGAAGTGCAACCAGAGTGCTCCTTAGAGTCAAGGATGCTGGAATTTCATCTCAGACACTCTGGATCTGTTGTTATGAGCGGCCAGTCCTTGGGAAAAGTCATCATGCTGGGAAAGGTGAAGGGTCAGAGAAAGAGAGAAAGCCCCTCAACAAGGGGGACTGGCAGAGTAACGGCGGGTTTGAGCACATCAGTGAGGATGAGGATGTACCAGAACAGGGCCAGGTTCAGACCTGCTGTTAACAGGGTCACTATGAGTCACAGGTGCCTCGATGCCCCTTAACAACAACATCCTACCAGGACATTCAGAGATGCACTATTCTGAGAGAACTCCCACTGGTGAGGCAGACACAGAGGCGCTTCAAGGAAGCCAAAGTGGAGGCACTTCTCCCTCAGACAAGACAGAGCTGAGCAGCCGACTGAGCTCAGAAAGAGGGACTCAGAAGTGTCAATTATAAGGCTCTTGTGTTTCCATAATCATAGAGTGCTAACATGGTATTTACTTAGAGTTTAAGTTGAAGAAGAAAGAGGCAAAGCAAAATTGACACTTAAATAATGACATAGTGCATCTTTTGGATATAATACTGTATATGTTATGGACTGAATGGCCTGAAGGTGATCAAGGCAGTGCCGTTAATTATGCTTCTCTTTTTACATCTGTATGGGAGAAAGAAGACGCCATCTGCTTCTATAAAACAGCCTTGGAAGCCCCCTGAAGCAGCTCCACTGTGTCCTACCAAGTCACTGAGAGTCAGAATCACCTTGAGGGCATGGGTCCTCCATCTCTAAGGGCTGTTGATGAACGCTGGCATTTCCTCAGGTTTCTGGTTGCTGCTATTGTGGTTATGTGCCACTGGGCAGGAACTGATTCACAGCTGAAATTTCAGTGGGTTTAAAGAGGCTGTTTATCGCAAGGGAGGAGACTGTCCATCTTTCTTCCATGGAGCAGCTGGTGGATTTTCGCCTTCAGGTTGGCAGTGAAATCTGTGGCCACTAGGCCACCAAAGCTCCTTGGCTTCCTTAGTTAGGTCTATACTGGTATAAACTAGCAGAGAAGAATAATTTAGTCTCATGGGCCATCTTGTATGTACCACATTTTCACACAGTGCATGTGTTACTTTTTTTTTTAACAAACAGTACAACTCCCTGGCACATTATGTGTTTTATATGTGTGTTATTTATGTGGATATGTTACAGGTGAAAAATACAGTACTCAAATCTGTTGTATGAAAGGACTGCAGACAATATGTAAATTAGTGTATGTGGTCATATTCCAATAAAATTTCATTTAAAAAAGCAGGGAGGAGATGGCTGAGTTAGATGCACAATGATATTAAAACAATCTCTTGAACATGTCCCAAAATTTCAAAGGGTAAGTAAGATATGCTATGCATGTCATTTTCTCATATTTTAGGAACTCCATATTCACCGAACTTGATACACAGGTGAACCAATTTTTCTACACCTCTTCAGAACCTTGGAATCACTTACCTGTGCATAGTCACCAAAAGGCTGGGAATACGCAATGCACTTTTCCAATGCATGCTGCGTTTCATTTCCCTGAGAGATTGCATCCAGAATGTTGCCCGTAATTCCCGTCTTCTGCAGAGTGGTTTTACTTGCAGGGGCTAAAGATAAAGTCAGTATGTTTATTTGACTTAGGCTGCTCTACTATAAATTATAAGCAGTACAAAACTCCTTAATTCAGCATACTGTCAAACAGGTCATATCTTTTAGTTTGTTAATATATGACATCTGTATCTATCAGTCTTGATGGCACCTAACAACAACATATCTATCAATCCAAATGTATGTTCACCTATAGAGAGAGACACCATGCGGGGGACGGTAGAGGGTTAGAGAAAGAGAGGAAGATCATCACCAAGAAGGGTAGACACAGTGGTGACTGAACAAGCGGCTTGGGTATGACTGCGATGGTGAGGATGGCTCAGCGTAGGGCAAAGCTCATGGGGTCTCTATGAGTCATGGTCAACGCAATGACATCACACAGCAATGACATATCTATTAAGGGAGTTCCGGTGACTGAATCCATAGGAAATTATGCTGCTAATCCGTAAGTGGCACCTCTCTGGCAGAGTGAATCCACCAGCACCTCTGAAGGAGAAGGATGGGCAACTTCCCAAGCAAATGACTGCATGTAAAACCCTGCTGGAAGGTCAGCTATAAGCCAGTTCTGATGAGTTGAGTGTGTTAAAATAGTTGTCACCATTCAATCTTCTAGATCAGACCCCTACACAGTAAGTATGTTTGACATGAGAAGCACATTCAAAATATTTGCTTCCTTTTTAAAAAAAAAATTTCAAATTAATGTTTGAGTGTATGTAGTTGTTGTGTACTGTCGAGTCAGAACAATTCATAGCTGACCCTTCAGTAGGTTTTCAAACACAGTAAATTACATGAGAGTTGACTGCCCATCTTACTCCCATGTAGTAGCTGGTAGATTTGAACTGAATGCCTGTGGGCTGACAGCTCAGTTCCTTATGGCTAGGCCACCACCTGCTGTAAGAGGATACTTGAATACAGAGAATGCTCATTAAAAAAATAAATTCACATTTTACCTCCCTCCTTTCAATCCTATTTCTTTTAGGTAGCATTCATTTTCCCTGATTTATTGTATGCATTTCCATATTCTTAAGTGTACATGAAAGAATATATAGCTCTAAATAAATATACATGTAATACATATAAATATATGTATTTGCTTTTCCCACTAAATAGTACGCTTTGGAGATGATTTTATATTAGTCTATACAAATGTCCCTCTGTGTTTGAGAAGCTGCACAGTATTCCATTTGGTGATGACTACTTAAGCATTCCCCTATTAATGAACAAATGCACTTCCCAGTTTTTCCACCATAAACCAGCACTGCAGACAATACCCTCATGCTTAGAGCACACTGCATGTGTCGCCTTAAGATTCTATTAGAATTAAAGTTACTATACACTGACTGAAGGTCTGAGAGGGCTCCTCAAAAAATTGACTGAGAACTCCATTTTGTTTAAGCTCAGGAATAACTAATATATTTTTGGAACATTCCAGCTTATTTTCTGAGACCTGTCTCTGTCTTGTGAAGTAAATAAAAACTCTGGATATATTAAGATAATTTAGAGGTTTAACATCTGGTTTAGAAATATAACTTTATATAAACTGTGCTGCTGCCAAATCTGTCTTGGAGGAAACTGTCTTGGAGAAAGTGCACCCAGGGTGCTCCTCAGAGGCAAGGCTGGTGAAACTCAGTTTCACATGCTTTGGGCATACTGTTAGCTGGATCCAGTCCTTGGAAAAAGAGACGCTGGGAAAGGTAGAGGATCAAAGAAAGGGAGGATGGCCCTCTGTTTTAAGATGGACTGACACAGCAACTACGACAATGGGCTCTTGAGCTACCAGGTCTCCTGACACAGCACAAGCCACGACAAGGTTTCCATCAAAAGGCTGCTGCGACTCAGAGGGGACCCGACAGCACTTACTAATATTAACAGCAACAACTGCCACATACTTCCTTTGCTCCATTATTACTAATCCTAACTCTACTTAACAACTTGATTTATTGGTTATATTCTCAATTAAAAATGCAATAAAATGTATGTTCTTCAAAGAAAATCACGTGAATTTCCTACATAGCTTAATTTTAATGATTCTTTTAAGTTAAAGATCAAGGTGAACCTCACTATGGAAATTGTCCAGTGTTAATGCCAAACATTTAACACCAAGCCCTTACTTACATGATAAGCACACGCTGGGCAGCACACTCGCCAGGTTCAAGTATGGATTTTTGCTGAGCCGAATTTCTTTTGGTGGTTCTCCTAAGAGTGAAGTCTGGTTTTTAGAGGCAGCCTATTTATTTTAAAAAAAAAAAGAAGTATTTAGGAAGAGATAAGAAACTAAACATGTACATGAAATAAAGAAACTGTTGTTGTTAGGTGTTTTTGAGTTGACGATGATCAACGCTTGCAGGATGTGCACCTGCCCTATCCTGTGCCATTCTCACCATCTCTGATACACCTGAACCCAAACTCATGTCATGAATATTTGTGAAGCCTAATCTTTTAGAAGAGAAATTTACGAACTATTTCTGGGCACAGACATAAAATTAGAATATTTCATTTGCTATTCTTTTTAAATGAGTGTTTTTAAGATTTTTTTTTCTTTTTACTGGTTTTCAGTCATTCATATTCATTTTGTCACATCAATTACAACTGATCAGGTCTCCACAAATTTTTCCACCTCCCTATCCATCCACTAATCTCTACTGGCCTCACGTTTAGTACTTGTCCGTACAGTAACAGCAACCTGTTTCTGCAGAGTCAGTTTCTACTTAGAAGCTCTGTAAGGCCTGGACACAGCCTACCATATGTTTCTGCCCCCCAACAAGTGTTGAATTCAAAACCCCGACCTGTTAGTTAGCAACACTATTGTGCTCCCAGAGCTCCTCATTCAAAATCACAGAACTTTAGAATTAAAAGTCATACTGTCCAGCTTCCTGTTATATCAAGAGGGAATTAATTTGAATGGAAGAAAACTTCATTTCCAGAATTATTGTAACAACGCTTCTTAAAAAATATTTTCTAATGTATTGTGTGTTACAGCAAGTTGATAAAAACAAATATTTGTCTCTGGTATTTAAAAAAATGAGCCACTAACACAAGTGGATTTTATAAACTCTAATTCTGGGAAGCTTTGGCTGCTAATCTAAAGGCTGATAGTTCAAGAGATGCCTCAGAAGAAAGGTCTGCCAGGATGATTGTAAACTCTCAGCCACTGACACCTATAGGGTAACCAAGAGCTGGAATCAGCTTAACACAGATTGGTCTTTTAGAAATTCCAGTTCTTTAAAATGAATGCTTTTTACAGTGAAACCTGTGAGAGTCAGGCCTCCAGGGTGGACTGCCTTGTTTTTCCAGGTAAAAACTTTTCTTGAAAGTCTTCTGTCTTTGACAAAGTGAAGCACACCATTTTCTAACACTCTCTGCTCACAGAGAACAACTGCACTTTCCTTCTCTGACAAGTTTCCACTTTACCAAGCTTTCAGTGTGAGACTAGTTAAGTGTAAGGATGCTAGTATATTGTGTAACAAAAACTGAGAAGAAATCCTGGCACAATTTTTCAGTGTTGTTTTGTGTGTCTTTGTTTTTTTTAAACAGATTTTGTATTTCCCTTCTAATAATAAAGAGTTTAAGGTAATAAGACCAGGCACTGTAATCAAAGTCATGTCTAGCAATTAAAATTTCACGTTTTAGTTCTTTTAATTTTAATCCCTGAACAGAGGAAAGATGGTATAATCACACATAATTATTCCTATATTTGAGAATCAGAGTTCCTTAAGTCTATTATCTGGTCAATAATACTGTATTTGCTCAAAGGAATCTGTCTCATACTGGTTCATAAGCCATAGGAAGTTCAGGTGGTTTTTACATATGTAAATCACAGAGGCTGTTCTGTCCCACTGAGTCTGAAGAGACGCACAGCTGACCCTCCAGCAGATTTTCAGAGGCAGTAAATCCCAGAAGAGGAGAATGCCCATCTTTCTCCCATGGAGCAAGTGGTGGATTTGAACCATGTGCCTTCAGGTTGGCAGTGTGTTGCACCTTTACATGTATAAATCCCAGATGTAGATATATTTTTTAGTTGGTATATTTGAGTATTTATTAACGATGGGCATGAACTATGATAAGCATTAGCAATATTACAATGAGTATGACAAGAGACTGCAATGAGATCACCACATCACACAGGTGAGCTAAAATCACTGAAAAGGGGGAAAGCAGCAAGGGAGGGTGCAGGATGAGAAGGGATGGTGTCTTCAAGAAAATCCAGAGGCTAGGTGAGCAGTGGTTTTGTTTCTGAAGTGATCAGACTGCTGTGGTAATCAGATTCTCAACTCTGGCTATGCATCAGAATCATATGTAAAATGGAAAACAAATGAAACAGGTTCCAGGATTTCTCATGCCTAACTTTCTGGGTTCTCTCCCCCTCTCTCACCCAGAAGGAATCAGAAAGTTTTGACCCACAGCGTTAGATGTGAGAATTAAGAAAGGCAATTCTGACAAAAAGGTAGAGCTGAGAATCACTGGTCAGCACAGTATTTTTAAATGCAGGTCTGCAAATCTTAGGATGTAAAGTAATGGTTTGACAAAATCTAAAGAACTGCAGCTAGAAAATGTACTTTGAGTTTACAGGTCTAATCCTCTGTTCTCGAAGTGGAAATCACTCTTCTATTTGGTAGATGACTCCTCCCTCACTTCCCATTCATCCCTTTGTGTGACAGTCACACTTCCAGTTTGTTTAAACCTTGAACTCTTCTTCATATGGAGGCTAAATATGCCTTACTGCATGTTCCACTTACTGAATGGCTTTTCTCCACAGGAGAAACACAAACTGCCAGGATTATCACATGGCACAGAATCGGATAGCTTCATTCTATTGCACATATCGCTTTGAGTAGGAGTCAACCTCCTCACACACACACACTGTAATGTATTTATTAAAACTGAATCCCAAGGTAGCTCTGGGGGCCCAGTGGCAAGAAGCTGCACTGCAATCTCAAAGGCATGTGGTTTGAAAGCACCAGATGCTTCACTGGAGAAAGAGTGGCAGTCTCCACCTGTACCAGTTGGATCCGATTCGACTGTACACACACATATGCGAACAAAATAATAATAAAAATGAAAATACGTAATTTATCCCATCTTTCTCAGTCTCCCTCCAAACCTGATGCCAGTCCTGTTTTACAACAGTAGCACTGTGCAGTATTTGTCCTTTTGTGTCTGAGATATTTCACTCAGCATAATGTTCTCCAGGGTTACCCTGTTATGACAGGAGTCCAGAACGAAGGCTGCGTAGTGGAGTGGACTTGGGGGGAGGGATTGTATAACAATGAAAGAATTTTTCTTTTACTTTTCAAAGAGAAGAACGAACTGGACAGTAGTGGTGGGCAGGGAAAAAAGTGCAACAGTGAATGAATGGAAATCTAAAATCTCTGTAAATTTCCATTAAAATTATTAATAATAAAAAATTACCACTACACAAATGTACTTATGCAAACGTGCCCATGCAAATGTACTTATGCATTTATTTGTTTGATTAATAATTTCTTGCCCCCTCTCCCTACAGGCTTCCTTAAGAAGCCCCTGGGGAGTGAGGGAAATTGGAAGAGTCTGGTCTGAAAAGCAATGTATTCAGATTTTGTAAATAAACTAGTATAAAAAGAAAAAAAAAGAAAAATAAAATAAAATAAACAAACAAAACCCTGAATCTCCAGGTAGTCATCTATGCGTCCATTCGAGGCCCTACCTCATTTTTCTGTCCTCCTCTAAATAGACTCTTTTCCCCATTGTGTGAACTCCTTCAAATCATGCTTTTAACGAATTTAGTTAAGGCTTTCCAAAAACATAGAAAGCTCTGGCATCCCAACGATAGGGAAAGAGTTGCACTATGAATCTAAGGCAGGTGGTTTAAATCCACTAGCTGCTTCTCTGGAGAAAGATGGGTGATTTACAGCCTCAGAAAACCCGCTGGAGGGTCAGATATACGACGTTTCTGACTAGACAGCGCTGTTCTATTTGTTGCTCTTAGGTATCACAAACCTAACTCTGGCTTGGAGAAACCCCACGTACAACAAAAGGAAATGTTGCCTGATCATGTGTTACATGCAAGACTGTTGGTATGCTCGGGTCCACTGTCCCCCTGGAGAGCCTTCCAACCCAGGGGCTCCCGTTCTAACACTGGACAGCATCCTGTTGAGATACGTAAGGCTTTCCCTGGCTAATTTTCACAACCAGATCACAAGGCTTTTATTTCTCATTTGTTTTTGTCTAGAAGCCTTGCTGGAACCTGTCCACTATGGATGACCCTGCTGGTATCTGAAGAACCAGGGGCTGGACAGTGAACAGAATGATAAAACAGATGAATTTGAGCTGTGGTGTTGGAGTAGAGTGCTATCACAAGGACTGCCAAAAGAACAAACAGATTATGTCTTGGAGAAAGCACAACCAGAATGTTCCTTGGAGGCAAAAATGGTGAAGCTTTGTCTCACATATCTTGGACATGTTGTTAGAAGAGGCTATTCCTTAGAAATGAACATGATTCTTGTAGGGTTAGTGAAGGATAGGAAGACCCCTAACAAGAAGTACTGATGCAATGTCTGCATCAATGGACTCAAATGTGTCGAGGATGGTAAGGACGGTGCAGGACAGGACAGAGTTCAGATCTATAGTTCAAAGGGTTGCTATTCATTGTACTCAATTCAATGGCCCTTAACAACAATAACTGGCTTCCAGCATCACAGGCATGCACACCACTATAGAAAAGAAAATAAACAGGTGGCAGTCTATTTAATTTCTTTCGGTCATCTAAGCAGTTGATACTGCAGGTAAATTTTAAATTTATTCTATAGTTGCTTTCTCAATGTATGACTGTGTTGTATTCAAGCCATACCTCTAGCTATGTGTACATGGCACCAAAAACTCTTTACAAATTCACTATTATTTATGCATTTTAATTGTACAATAAATTACTTAAATTTCTTTTTCTACATGCTACTTATTGCCCAAGCTTTATTACAACTTACAAAAGTCAAAGGATCTTTTAAGGAACAAGTAAATTACAATTTTTTGTTTGTTTGTTCTACCTACTACACCCTGCTTGCTGAAACTGAGAAGGACCTCATGCACTAGCTGCAGAGGGTAAAGGACTGCAGCCCTCAGTATGGACTGAGGCTCAATGTCAAGAAGACAAA